TATCTCCACAGTTAGGAACCTAGACTCTTCATATAATCCACAGAGCACTTCCTTCAGAGCGCCTTCACTGTTCATTTCCAATCCTTAACAAATACCATCCCATTCAACTATAGTTAAAAGACAAGATTCATATGAAGGCAGAATGTAGTCTGCAGAGTCTTTATTCCTCTTTACACAAATTAGAAAGAACTAATTTTATTTCTGGTTCCAGCGCTGGATTTCTGGCTGGTGAATTAGGAGGTGTATTTCCTCACCTACAGATGGGACAAATCAGAATGACATACTTCAGTGCCGTTGAGCAGCACATTTCAGAGCTGAACTAACCAACTAAAATGGAAGACACATGGAAACTGTGACTCCAGGAATGGTTCAAAAAAAATATACTTGGCATTCAACATAAATATCAGGTTTCTTAGGTCATGACCCGGACAGTAAATCTGAAGTCTGTATGTCAGTATTAAGACAGAATTTCAAGTTATTATATACAAATACCATTACAAAAAGTATTGGAAATTTCTTCTAGCAACCTCTGAGCTAGTAACATACATGTCTTTCATCACTACATGTGACTCAGGAGAAATCATAAAGGTGCTAGCTACAGTCTTCTTATGCCAATCCATTTCTTAGCAAGGGATTAGCATGTTACAAACCTATACTGTATTATGCACCTAATATCCTTGAGCAACGGCTCTCAAAAATGCAAAGTCAATTTGTAAATGAAAGGCATAGCATTTGCTTACTCTGTGCTATTATACTGAAAGTTATGGTTTGGGGAGCTTTGATCCTTCAGAAATACACAATTAAAGGCTTTAGACTCACAGCAGGTGCTAGTGCTTGTTTTTATTACAATACAGTCAAGGTTTCTGTTTCTCAGTTGATTTTTCTTCCAATCCTACTTCAAATATTCTCCATAAAACATCCTGCCTGCAAACTTTTATTGTGGGCAATGCAAGTATCAAGGTCACACATCAATATACATCAGAAGTACACAGCTCCATTTCTCCTCACTCCGAGACTGGAATTAAAAAAGCTCTTCCTGTGTACATAGCACAGCCCTATCTTGCAGAGTAGTTTTCAGAGCCTACATTTTGCTTTAGTTTTAATAACATTAGCTTAGTTAAATATGCTAATGGGAGTTGAAAAACTGCAGCAGAAAGACGTTCAGCTTGTGTCAGAAGTGTTGCTCTCTATGCTAGCTCCACGTTTCTGTACTACACCCAGCCTCCTCCCTCCATTTCCAAGTGCACACAACCATGTGGTTGGGTACTTGAGACACAAATACCGGCAGGAGAATCCCAGAGGACAGGAGCTGGGACAGCAGATAAGAGGAGTTAACCATAACAAACCAGAGATTAGTTCTAGGGAAAACCAGGGGCCATCCAACAGCTACACTGCAGGAATGGATTCCCTGGAAATCAAAACACAGCAGGGGAAGATGCCAGCAGCAGGAGTGGTATCTACAAAGGGACACAGGAAAGCGTGCAGGCTGCAACGGTTCGATGGTACGTTATTATTGGTGCTTCTCTTAATCCATGGACACTCTGGATTTATCTGGCCTCTTTCACTGTAGGCCAGGAAAAGTATTCACAACGGGAAAACCCAGCAGGCTTTCCTTTGAGCAGCCCGTCCTTTTGGGGACCACAGAGCATGACATTGTTTATGGTTACACAGAATAATTACAACATCTTTGCTTATCCTCTCCCTTCTGTGCCTTAACACCCCACAGTTTGCATTCAGATTCACCATCCCACTACCATTCTCTTTCTCTCTTCTTTCCATTCCCACCGATTTTCTGATTCCCATTCCCACCCTCTTGCCTCCTACCTGAATTTTCTAATTCATCGTTCCTTAACAGTTCATGTACCACTCAGCCACTCTATTTCTTCTATTCCAAACTGTTCTAGCTTTCCTCCAGCCCCTATTTCTAGTACTCTGTCTCTCCATAGCTGTACTTTTGCCCTTCACTTTCAAAAACACCCCTCCACTTAAGTTCATTATTGGTAACAGTGGAAACTAATACAGACTTCCATACTTAGTGCAAAAAACAAATATAATTTTCTCTTCTGACTGCTCCTTCTGTGTGTACCTTCTGCTGACCACTTCTGGTGCAAATACTCCAAGTTATTTCTGCTTTTCAGCTTTTACTCTGGCACAGGGATTTGAGAAAGAAACAAACGTCTGCCCCTAGAAGACTGTAAGGCACATTCCTTTTTTAGCCTACTTCAACTGAAGTGTTAGGATACTGTCAGATGTTTTATCTCAATTTTGTCAACTACAAGAAAATTCATTGCAAGTATCTTTCAGTGACAGGTATTTTTAATCTAGGATTTCTGAAACAGCTCAACCATAAACAATGAAACCATTGCCTTCAAATGTACAACTTCTATTACTGCTCCAAATCTGGTGAGAACCCTCCTGTGATTCCTTAATATGTTGTTTCCACACAGGCCTGCACACAAACTGAGCAAAATAATCTGCCCTTTGCTAGGATTGTATGGAGGCCTAAATGGCCTGTATGGATTCTGGGATAAAGACTTCTTTCACTTAAGGTTACATTTTAAAGACTGAAAGCTTCCTAAATCTTCCTGTTACTTTACATCTCTGCCCAGATTCCTGAAAGCTTTGAAATATTCTCAAAAACCCCCTTTTTTCTAATCACATGTTCCCATATATTCTGTCCACTCTTTCCATTATTCACAATTCATGCAGACACTTCTGCCTTTCTCTTGTTTTTTGACCTGCAAACTCCTTTATGACTTTCAATTTACCTTCTTTTTTATTCTAAGACCCTTCTGCTGCTTCTCCAATATCTCCCAATTTACTGTTATTCACAGTTGTTTTTTTCCTTCTCTTTTATATATTTTCTTCAACTATGTAACTGAATGCATGTATCTACAATCTTTCACCTGTCATAACCTGTGATGAACTATAAAGATATATTTAATATATATTTTTAGGACATATAATTTTAATATATAAAATATATCATTTGTAACCTTAAGATGATGTCTCTTTTTATGACTCTGATACAGAAAGGTATGTACTATAAAGTTAGTCAGACTGTTAGGAAGGCTTAATGCTGCTTAATGCTGCAGATAACAGCTCGTATTTCCTGAAAAGCTCTTCCACAGCCTACAAACTTCTGTTTTGCTTAATTTGTTATGAATTATTCCTGAAAAAACAGCCCAAACATCTAAGGACTTACTAATGAGATTTTATTTTATACACGCTCTTCTGAAGTAAACAAGGCAACCTGCTACTCAGAGAATTTTGCCCTGCTTTTCTCTGTTAAAAGAATCTTGTGTTATATCTGAAAATGGGTTTTGAAGTAGCCTGCATCGTAGATAAATATCAAGCCCTTTGCTTAAGCAAATCACAAAATTTTACTCTTCAGGACAGCTCTCATTGCAACTCTCTTGAATTATTCTTTTTTATATGATTAATTTAGCTATTCTTCTGCATTGACAGCCTAACCTTAAATGCACTTTACCTTAATACTACTGCTTTTAGGTTTTATTTCATTCCCCTCAACCTCCAAATGATTAAATACTACCAAATTTCTTCTTAGCAGTACTGCATAAAGCATAAAAATTATTTATTGTGCTACTTTCCAGGTAAGCCATTATAATAGACAATGCTTAGGTAATATGTATTGTAGTTACCACGCTGCCACTTAAAAACTTATATACACCAAATGGAACAGAAACTAATCCCAAACATGCCAATATAAAATCTCTGCAAGCAATAGCTTGTGTTTTTCTGACATTTTTCTGCTTTAAGTTTATTCCACATCCATTGTGGGAAAAGTAGAATCTGGCCCAAAGGCAACTTCGAATAAATCCTTTCCTTTATAGTAGAAATGTTGCTATTCACAATACAACATATTTTCCTCTAATTATGTTTTCTGAGCAAAAGTATTAATGACATTTTGGCGATATATCTACATACCCATTTCAGAGTAAGTTTTCTTTTGATACATTTCCATTATATAATGGTCAGAAACTGTAATTAAAAGTTTGGGGTTTCAATACATCTTACTGCAGTAAAATAGAAGCCAAATGCAGATCCATCCAATGATTTTGAGCAGTACTCAGCTACTGAAAAGCGGTTTTATGAACACTACAACATAAAATATGCTTTTGAAAAACTCTGTTTTCTAATGGTGCACCTTCATCAGCATATGAACCCCCTGACATTTAAACGTTACATTTTTGCCCATCTCTGCAATACCAACATAAATCCTGGAAGCATGGAGAAGTAAAATGGGATGGGAATTTGTAGAGAACATATCAGTGTTTCTGAGTGAGAAGCAAATTTCAGTAATCTGGTCATATTCAACAGTATCTGCAAATTCTTTCATGACTGAAGTGAGGTATTGAAAAAGGAGGTACTCCTCGTTCTTTGTATGTTACTTCTGATAGTTTTTAGACAATCAACATGGCTTTCAAGAGTGGCAAACAACTACAAAGCTATCCTACAAAAATTGCATATATGGATCATAATATAAACTTGGATTAATATTATTCTAGCACTGCAAATAAATAGGCCACACTAAAAATGAGAATAAAACCAAAATTCAGCATTTCATTAAAATATTTGAGATGTGTAACATCAATTTACACGGTTTTCTATTATGTTCTCTGAATACTTAGAGGGAATAAGCACTGAATATGTATTATTCAATACTTATTCGATGAAAATTAACACTAAGAGGGGGTCCCTGCCCATGGCAGGGGGGTTAGAACTAGATGATCTTTAAGGCCCTGTCCAATGCAAACCATTCTATGGTTCTATGAATAACATTATCTCTCTTCTTTTTGTGCTTTGTATTAAGCACATGTGGAAAGAATGCTACTGACTTTTGAATCCTTAAAAATGAAATTTTCTATTTGTTTGTGGGTCAGGCAGATATAAATTCTTACAGAATTAACACATGATAAAGGCTACATGATAAAAGTTTAGGTTTTGAATTAAAAATGCCACTGTAAAGGTTAAGAGTACCTCATTCACCAGTGTCTTTCAAGCATGCTTCTAAATAGTCCTGAAAAAAACAGTAAAAAACAAACATGTTTTAAATGTTTTCTAAAAAAATAAATTGACAAACACATATATCAATAGCTCTAGAATAAAGGACCACACATATGGTCACTGCTGATTAAACCAGTGAGACCCATTTATAACAAGAATTCTCATCCAGTAGGAAGAGGATAAATTAATTTCATACAGTCTACTAAAAAAATAGCTTCTGACTTTTAATGGTGTGGGTTAGACTTGAAAGTGATCAATATTGCATTTCATCACCAGTAACATCAATTATTTAGTCTCCTTAAACAATCTCTTAATTCTCTGCTACAGGCTAGCTTTTGAATTATTTTCCTCTTTAAAGCAGAATGGCTTTCAATTTCCTTTGCAAATGGGTAAGGCCAGACTTGTTCTACTACCAGGATGAGCGAGTGAGGAGGCAAGCAGCAGTGGGCTCATGGAAATTATCACAGGCTTTAGGTGACCAGGAGGTTAGATTCATGCTCTCTTTTTTAACCAAAGAGAGCTGGAACGAGGGAGGTGTGATTACCTGCAGGAGCCAAAACAACTTCCAATGTCTGAACTTACTTTTCTGAAGGCTCTCACCCGTCGCTATTCACATGTTCCAGTTCAGGGCTGGAAGAGGTGTTAAAGTGGAGACACCAGCCTCTACAAATGAAGATACAATCATGTACATTCCTTCTATTTACTTAGACTCTGTGCTGCTGTAGGAAGGGAAGAGCAAAATTCAGCACTCTTTATAACACGAGGGCCTGACTTCATTCTCTTAGAATCATTTATAACCATGCCTCTTCCTTCAGCAATTTTAGAAAATGTGTTCAAAGCCACAAAAGTAAATGATGCTAATGGTAAGTTAGTGTTTGAGAGGCTGTACTGTGAATCACTGAAGATTAGCAGAACAGCACCAATAAAAATCTCTAGGTATATTAAAGAAGAAATTAAATAATTCATAAATTCCAGTTTCAGAAAGTATAGAGATAGGAATTTTAATATCTCCAAACATTAAGTGAAATTACTTTGGCTCTTATTAGAAAGTTACACTTGCAGACTAAACCTACCTTAGTCCTAGAAGTGTAAACTAAGTGACCACCTCAGTAAAACAGAACCTTAGTGTGATGGATTTTGAGAAATTAAAAGGAAGGCAAGCTTTTTTTTTTTTGTGCTTAGCATAAAATCTTCAAGAAAATGAAAATACAAGACTTAAAACCGTACCACCCAATATTTCCTTAAAATAATAACCATTGCTACAAAGGATAGCAAAGTATAGTTCCTTCAGTATTTTAAGTATGAGAGAGACATTTCTCCAGGCAACCATGGACAATGTTTTCCTTATTTAAGAATGAAAATGTTTTTTTTATGCCAAATGGAATATCTGAAGAAAGTTATCAAACAGCTGTAGGAATTAGAAAATAATATCCTTCAGCTCACAACTCATGCATTAAAATCAGAACCACAGGTAAAATGATAAGTAGAAGAAAAAAAATATGTATCTATATTCTTGGAAAGCTCAGCTGTATCCAAGATGGCACAGTGAGGATTCCTGTAATTCCAGGCTTTTTATTCCATATGGGTAAGGCCAAATTAATAGACCTGTTTTCAGAACCAGAAATAAACTTGACCTAATTCCTTTTGAAGTTAATCAGTGCTGCCTTGAAATCAAATAAAGGGATTGTCCTGAGGTAACTGAAGGTTGATGCTTCTAATGGTTCAAACAGCAGATCTTTCATCATCTCTGATTATTTATATAGGGAATAAAATGAAAAAAAAAAAAATTACTCACCTTTCTTATGTGCTGTTCCTATCTCTTTACAGGATTTACCCTAAAATTCTGGCTCAGCCATTGACTTCAGAGACAGTAGGATCAAGCCCTGAAAGAGTAAAAGCACACAGTAGACAGGAAGGGAAATATGTATGAATCTGAAATTAAAATTCCTGTAAAATCTTTCTGCTTATTGCAATTGAAACAATCAAATTCCAGGTTTGCAGCTGAAGTCTCAGAAATGAAACTATAGCATTAACTAGAGTCACTATAATCATGACGAAGAATCAAAATAATCATATAGGTTCAGTACAATTCACAAAACTCATTACAGTCCTGGGAATTTATCCCCATCGCAGAGCCTGCAAACAAAGCGGCAAATGAAGGAAACTCATCCAGTCCCATGACTGATGCTCATATGTAAATTCAGATAAGACAAATGAACACATCTGTCAGAGTTTCTCTCACATACTGGATAAAATTGAAATAGTAAAAACTTCGACATTTTTAGTGCCGGCAATATTATTACCTGAAGCAATGCTGCCATCTAGCGAGGGAAATACTTAAACCAACGTTTTCGTTTTCTAGATTTATCCTAAGTGACATGGGGTTTATGAGACACAGAGGTAAGGAATCAACAGGGATGTGAACTGGACGTAAACAGGTCTTTGTCTGAAATCAGTGGGGATAAGCAATACTGCCCATCAACTCCGAGAAGTAAACGGTCTTCAGTATCAAGCAGAACATTCAAAGTTGCAGTGTGAATGCAGAACATTCAAACTTGCATTCAGGTGAAAATGAAAGCAAAGGAACTACAGACACTCTATGCTAAAAGTTGGTGAGTTCCACTTCCTTTCTTTTAGCTTTCACTATGCAACTGGTATCTTGTATCGCCAGATTGAAAAATCCAAGCACATCAAAATTTTGCAAGGTCAGGTATTTAACTCAGTTCTCAAAGTTAACGCACATCCATCCTCGACATTAGGGATGAGGGGACAGAGTGCAGTTTAGGGGAAAAAAGGTATTTTCTAAAGTCATTGATTAAATACCAAGGCATTGTATACAGAGAGATGTTTTCACTTGTGTTTTCTCACCAGGAAGTTAAGAGTGTGTACTGATGTCCTTCCTCTATTCTGTCTCTAACTCCAATATTTTATATTTCTCCAATTCTCTATCTTCTAATTCTAATGTGCACACAGAGATTTCAAGACAAGAACTATAACCACCTATAGCCACCTATAACCACCTATTCAGTTGGACTGAATTTAATAGCATGGGCTAGAGAAACAGGAACTGCTATTAAATTTAGAGTGAAATTTTCTAACATTTTTACAGCTGAAAATGTCACTTCAACAAGTGTTACACAACCTCAACAGGAATCTATTTTGAAAGGAAATAAAGTAGCTTTAATAAGATCAAAATATTCTGACCTCACCTTTGTGAATGGAATATTTCAGTCTTCTATTTCTACATTTAAAATGTGCAATGCAGAAAATAAAATTTTAAAATGTTTCATTTTATCAAAGTGAAAGTAAGAAAAAAATTTATAGTACTACAATGACCATACACCACAGTCTCCAAGCATATTAAACTTTCACCTGGGAATAATGAACATCTCCTAAAATTAATTTTATTAACATGCCTAAAGATTTCTTGTGTTGCTAGAAAAAAAAAAATCACCTGCTCTTCCTGGTTGCAAAATCCATGCCTTCCTACAAACCCCTCACATCAGAAACAGCTTCGTGCTATTTGGGTTTACAGTTGTAGCCAGAGAGAGTAAGCTCTCCACATATGTAGATTAGTTAGAAAATATTACAGGGAGTTACTAAAATAATTCCTTGCAGGTGTTTTTAAAATGAAGCTGTTACTTTCCAGTTGACGCAACTGGCTAGTAAGCAGAGGACTACTGGTTCCCATCATTGCTGCATGACATTAGATTTTATTCTTGCTCTGGCACAGTCTGTTATAGCTCTGGGTCTTCATAAAAATAGTATAAACCACTACCTTGCTATGTGTAGTTGAGTAACACAAATGTAAAATGTTTTTCTATCTCTGAAGCAAAGTCACTACAGCCTCAGTTACCAGGAATTTTGGCACTTACTAGTTGAAAACTAGGTGTAACTTAGCAGCTTGCATCACCACCCAGCATGCATCCTGCAAGCCAAGAAAACCTTTCTCTACTTCTCTGCTCCTGCAGAAGGACAGGCAGAGGAGGGAAAATTCTAGACTTCCCAAGAAGAGGTCTTCACTGGGAAACTAAACCAGAAAATCTGGCCCTATATAATTAGAAAATGCTTCTGTTGTTTGAATTAGCAGCAGGATCTGCTCTTAGTAATTACTGGAAAGTATACTGTATCAAGTGACCCATCCTACCCCGCTTCTCTGCAAAACACATCGCCTTCTAGTCGCTACAATGCCCCCTAATTTTTTAATTCAATATACTTAAGGTGTCTGGAGTCTCTCAACTCTGTACTCGGATATTTATTCAATCTGAAACCACTGCCTGAAACAAATCATGTTTAAGGAAAGATTAGAATATGCTGTATTTCTCCTCCCTCTGCAAGGTTGTCTTGGGTTCATGGGTAATAGCTTCTGAATCCCTTGATGCTCTGCATCACCATTTTAATACCTGTAAATATGAATGCTTCTGGCCTAACCAAAGAGCAGGTATGGGAAGAGAAGGAGGGATGATGTGACAAGCATGCATGAGCTTACCCACAACTGTAAATAAACCCCACTTACACTGCCTGATACTGGTTACCCACTTGACAATTTGAGATTTTTTTATTTACTGGAGTCTGAGAGTTCTTTAAAAAATGGACTTGTGAGATGTATGTATTTCACTTGCAAAGCAAACTTACATTGTCAGCATTGACAATACCTCTTTAAAGTGAAGGGCCTTTGGTTTAAATGTGTTTTATATGTATCTCTCACCTCTGAAAGTTAGTCTGCCCTCATATATTTTGCCACTCCTACACACCTGAGCTTACTTTGCTTTCTTGAATCTATGGAAAAAATGACAAGCGTTACAGCTGTGGGGTACAGATGACACGTTTGCATGTGTGAGATGTTTTATAAATCATATTATTTCTGTTACGCCACAAAAATTCACATAGATGAGCAGACCAATTAGCCTTCTACTGAGAATCCTATCTTTAGAAGTGGTTAGGATCTGCAGAAGCCCTTCAAAGGAAGGGATAATTGCAGTACGAACTTAGTAATAGAGCCTATTAAATGAGGAAGAATTTATGAAATCACTTCAAAGCTAATGATCTAATGCATAGGATTTGCCTTTTCTGATTTTTGCAGGTTTTCTGTTGATACAGAAGAACCCATTAAAAAAATAAATATACCTAGGACAGTACAATCCAGACTAAGAACATCAGTGCTTCACTACCTTTATAGTTCGATCAGTTTTGTAACAGTCCAAGACTTCTAGAATAAGTTACCTTCACTTGAACTATTCTTCATATTTTAGGCTGGTACTGCATATTGAACTACTTGCCCTTTATTCATTCTTTGGTTGCCATTCCTAGCTGCAGTAAATATTTCTGCACAGCAAGTAAATATTTTGAGTATACACAGCAAAATAATCACAGAGGTGCCAAAAACCTATTGAAAGGTTTTACCATAGAAGCAAAGGAAAGAGAATCCCTCTTGAATCTTGAATTTGGGGGAAAGTAAGATGTCACTTGCAGAACTTGTCTGTAACAGTAGGGGCAACCCATCCAACAGAAGGGCTGTAGAACAAATCAGTGGTGCTGAGGACTTTGCATCCACAGACTACATGCATTTCAAGACTGCTTGACAAAGTGAGCCAAACAACAGTAAAAAGTAACAACTGGGAGATTTACTCTGACAGCACATTCCTGATCTGAACTATAACATATATGTACCCCGCATATTTTAGAAATTTAGAGATTGGGTTATAGGAAGAAATGATTAAAGAAACTGTCTCTATAATACTCTTGTTCAGTCCCTGTACCTGGTTCAGTCCCACCACAATTAGGTGGAAACACAAGTGATTTGATGTTGAAGAGACCATAACATAACTGACTTCATGTTGAAAAGACTATCTGCATGGTCCTTTGCTTTTAACTGAGATCTCATTCTTGTGACAGTTCCCATCAAAGTGCTACCAAATCAATTGCAAAGTCTCTATTAAAAAATAAGGTATAAATAAGCAGTCCATTCCATAAGGTTGGAGCATCAACCTTTTGATGAATAGCTTAATGACTACTTACAGAAACTATTATAGGAATAAATCCTTAAAGTTATTAAACTTATTCCCTAAGGAATTACTTATTACCTTAGGAATATCTAAACATCCAAATTCCAGTATGGTAAGTGCTAACTGAACACAAGGAGAATTTCTACTCTGAAAATGTTGCTATATAAAGTAAAACACTAGCTCTATAGGAGAACTCTATTAAAAGTAGATCAAAAATAGCAAGCAGGTAAGTTGGCACGGTGGAAGTGAGTAGAAGTGTAGAAATGTAAGAACGCCAGCACCTTTTCTGCACTTTGACAGTAACTTTCCCAAAACTAAAAATATCTTCTCTTGCCTTCTCTATTTCCCACGTTATCTTCACCTTACCTGTTTAATTAGGAAGGCTTCTGCCAGTACTTAACCAAATCTGTTTATGCTCAACTTGTTAAAAAATCTCACTTTCACTGTTGTCAATGATGTTAATCCCTTTCCATATGGCCTTGCTAGTTCAGATACTTTTACCCCATTTTAAATAATAAATTTGATGGATATATATACAGAGGAATCTGAAGCTACTGTATTTTACAGATTGAAGAAAGTGTATTTAAGACTTTATCCTTTCTTTAATTTTATTTTTTTTACTTTATGTGCACTTTCAAAACCAGTAGTCAGACTAGAAAACACAAATGTCTTATCTGAATAACAAGGTCTTCAGAGTATGAAAACTAAGGCACCTTGATTATTTCACTAAGACCTAGAAAAGAGAGAGTGCAAAGTTAACAGAAGAGCAGCTTACCACTGTTCTGTTGGAGCTATGCCTTAAGTATTTAAGAAGGTTACATCTGAAGATTAAAAAAAATATATGGGCAGTGCAGGTTGCTAGATGAAGGAGAAAGATC